GTGAATTTTCCCTCCTTGCTATCCCCCTTCTCTACCCAACTCACCTCTCTTCCAGAGGTATTTTACGTATATATGAGCAAATATATACACCTATGTATTGCAATTGTGAATGGAATACTTTCCCTTTCTTATTGTTCCTAGTTGATAATTGCTAGAATAGAAAAAAGCTATTGATTTTTGCACATTTATCTTTTATTCAGACACTTACCAAATTTCCTTATTAATGCTAATGAGTTTTACTATAGCCTCTTGGATTTCCTAAATACACATCAGTAAAACAAGATAACATTATTTTCCAATATTTATACCAGTTATTTAGTTTTCTTGCCTAATTGGTTTCACTTGAATTTTCAAAGCAATGTCGAGTCTTGTCTTTGACTTTAATAGAAAGAGCTTTAGTGTTTACAATGAAAAATGATGTTTGCTATTGGTTTTTGATGAATAGTTTCTTTTCCTTTTACTCAGAGTTTTAATTTTATCCAATCATATGTAAAGCTGTAAAATTTCATCAAATGCTTTTTCAGCATATACTGATAAAATGTTTTATCTCCTTTCATTTAAAAATTTTATTCTGAAATAATTTTAGACTTACAGAAAAGTTGCAAAAACAATACAAAGAATTTCTGTATTCTCTTCACTCAGATTTCCCAAATGCTAACACTTTACTTTTATCATTCTGTGTGTGTATATACATATGTATGTGCGTGTGTACATATATAATGTAAAGTTTCCTGAAACGTCTACAAATTGTTTTTACCTTTAACCTCTAAACACCTCAATGCATATTTCCTAAAAACAAGGACATCCTCTTACGTAATCATACAAGAAATATTATCAAAATAAGAAAATTAACATTAATATTAATCTATAGACATTTAAATAATCAAGTTCTTGATGTATTGAATTATATTAGTAAATTTCCTGATACTGAGGCTCGCATTGCTGAAATAAATCTTATGTGATCACCGTGTACAATTCAACCTTATTTGGAATTTTTGCATCTACAGACACAGGTGAGATTAGGCTACGGCATTCTTTTTGGCACCTTAGGGTGTGAGTATGAATCTTGAGTGGGGCTTTAAAAATCAACTGAGCTTCTTTCCATCTTTTCCCATGGTCTGAAGCAGTGTACATAATTAAAAATAACAACTCATCTATTTTTTGAGCTGGGTGATGGCTACAGTGCTGGTGTTCACTTTGTAATAATTCACTTGTGATTTGTGCACTTTTCCATATATATCTCAATAAAAAAGTTTAAATAAAAGAACACAATCTTTTAAAAGGATAAATTTTTAATCACTTTGCAATTTCTTCTTTGGTAATTAATTGGTCTATTCGAACTACATCTTGGGTCAGTGTCTTCTAGGAAATTATCTATTTGCTGTTTTCAAATTTGTTGCCATCGAGTTCTCCTAAAATTATTTTGAATTCTTCTATATATATGGTTATGTCTGATTTCTCATTCCTAACCTTGTATTTTTTTTGCTCTTTTTCCTTTTATCAGGCTGAGGACGTTTTATCTATTTTATTAGTGTTTTCAAAGAATCATTTTTCTATTTATCCTTTCTCCTTTTTTTTTTTCCTACTTGGTTAACTTTGAGTTTTATCTTTATTGATCCATTTTCTATTTTCTTATGGTTTGAATGTGTTTTTTTCTAAATTTCTAAAACAATCACTATACATCTTTGAGTTTTCTTTTTGAACAATACAGGTGTTACATTTCCATTTCCAAGTCCAACCTCGTGTATTCCAGGATACTCAATAACGTGTCTGGGTCTTACTTTGCCCCATTTGCTCAGGGGTCCAATCCTGGCAGGTCTTACTGCCTGGCCACAAGCACATGACAAAGAAATGTGTGCTCAGTGAACAAATGATACTGTTCTGTCCTGGGATCCACTGTGAAAATCTGTGCTTACCACAGGGCCCACCCATCCATCCAAATATCTGGAACATGCGTCATGTGCTGGCACTGTGCCAGGTTCTATGAATAGGACAGTGAGCTGAACAGTTGGGTATCTGCCCTCCTGGAGCTTACATTCTAGTGACACAGAACGAGTAACGCAAGTGAACCAAGTATTGCCTAGGATGCTATGGAAGCATAAGATAGGGGTCCAACATCACTTAGGAGGTCTAGCTAAGAATCCCAAGAAGTGATACTTAAGTTCCTCAGAACCTGAAGGTCCACCCTGTCCCCTACCCTCCTCTCAGAAAGCTGGCCACTGGGTTTTCTTGTATAAAAGTTATCTGGTTTTGAGTTATACTTGTATAAAAGTTATCTGGTTTTGAGTTATATGCCTATGGCTCTTGCCACAGTTGATTGAACCAAGGGAGTGACAGCCAGGCATAAGAACTTTATCCAGTAGGAATGTTCCACACAGGATGGTCACTGACTGACTTAATTAGAACCTCTAAGGGAAATCTGAACACCAAAGAGTGAAAGGAGAAGAAAGAGACAGCAGGAGAGGGAGAAGTGGAAAAAGAATAGTCAAGTCATAATAATGGCAGTTACCAACCTTGTGGTACTGGATTGGAATTGTAGGTATCAATACAAACTCATGGTTTTTAATAATAGATAGATAAATACAATAATAAATTTACATATGTGTGATGCATGTGTTAACATACATACATATATTTCCTAGCCCTGTGTGCTGAAAGGGCCTAGAAGCAATGACACACCAGTAGCAATACACATACCCAGTGCCCACATCTTGGTTTCTAAGTACCACTCTCGAATAAAAGAAACCAAGAGCTGCTTGGAGAAATGGCTGATGTCAAGGCAGGGACAGGAAAAATATGAGTGAGCTTGGAACATCTTGTGGTGCCAGAAAGTAAGGAAGTGCTTTACTTACTATAAGGAAGTGTATAAAAAAAAATGATGGAGGCAATGTTGAAACAACACAGGAGCCAACTTGAAAGCATTCCCAATGGCCAAACTAGGTCAGTATGAGCAACAATATTAACTACATTAGCATTAGATTACAACCCACAGAATAAAACAAATATCCATTAGTTTATAATGATATAAATAAATAATTGAATAAATAAATGGGGGAAAAGAGACAGCTTTTTCTTATAGTAGAATACCAATTAATAAATATAGATGAATAATGAAATAGAAAGTCATCATTAGGCAAATACAACATTAATACTTGTTGTAAGCAAGATGGATGCTTAATATCAGTGGGCAAAATTCTAAGGATAAATAAGACATTTGCACAGCTTCCAAGTAACTCACCATAAGATTCTTATTAATTTCAAAGGGGAAATCAGTAATTTTACCGTGAAGAAACATGGCACACACCACCTCAGCCATGTGATCAAAGGTAACATCACCCCCCACTCTGTCTGAGGCACTGAGAAGGGCACAGATCACCTCTGGGGTAGTCTCACTAAAATGCGGACCCTCCATCTAATCACGTGAAAACAGTAGACAAACCCAAATTGAGGGACACTCAACAAAATAACTGGCCTGGACATTTCAAAAGAGTTAAGGTCATGAAAGGGAAAGAAAGATGGAGGAACTGTCACTGGCTGAAGGAGATGAAGGAAACATGACAACAAAATGCAATGCAGGATCCTGGACCAGAAAAGGACATCAGGAGGAAAACTGGCAAAATCTGAATGTCTACAGACTAGTTAGTAATACCGTATCAATGTTAATTTCCTGGTTTTAATAATTATACTACGATTTTGTAAGATGTTAACATTAGGAGAAGCTATTAGGTGAAGGGTATACGGGAACTCTAGTATTTTTGCAACTTTCTGTTAAGTCAAAAATTATTTCAAAATAAGAAGTTTAAAAAATAATAATATAAAAGAACAGCAGTCACTGAGGTAGGGAGCAGCAGACACAGCTCCTGGAGGGACCAGACCTGATTGCTGGAGCATCTGCTGGAGCCCACGCCCTGGCTTCTGACTGCCTCATACCACCATATTGTTATGACAGTCTTCCATCACTCATGGGACTTTGATTCCTGCCCCCGTTTTCTGCTTCCTGAAAGAGATTAGCTAACACCAAAGGAGGGTTCCACAACGGCCCTGCAGGGGGAGGGTGATGGGAGGGTCATCAATGGTGGCTACTGCAGATGGTGCCCAAGGATGCACCAGGCCTTGCTGTGCCCTGCTAAGTTGAGGTTGAAACACGGCTGGTCTGTGGAATGCCCTTGGGGGATGGTGTGCAGATACTCTGCTTAGTGATTAACACGCAGACTGCATGGGGGAGCTGTGTATTCCAGGCTAACTGAGCCGGGACCGTAGCACAGACAGGGTAGAGCCTGACCCCATGATCTCTCCCCCTACAGCTCCCCAATGTCTATGCTGCCAGTCCCCCCGCAGAGCTGAGCTTGCCTGCTCATTTGGTACTGTTGTCCAGGCCCAGAGTAGAGCAGGGGAGTGACCCAGCCAGCCTTCCTCCTGGAGGGGCCCTATGCTGGCCTAGTTCCACGGCTGGAGAAACATGGTCTATTCTGACCCCAGAATGAAGGGTGAGGGGTAGCTATGATATGGCAGTGGAAGGGAGAAGGGCTCTATGGGTCCCTACCCCTTGGATTTTAGGGCATGGGAAAGAGGTGGCTATACCCTAAACTGCAGAACCTCTGTGCCTGGGCCTCTGCACTCTTTCTCCACTCTCTGTGGAGACATTCTGGGGACTCAGCTGCACGAAGGCCAGCAGAGGGTGGCAGGTCACAGTTTGGTCGCTGTCTTCTTCCAGCCAGATCTGTTCTTAGCTGCCATACTTCTGAGCTTCCGGGAAACATGATCAAGTTCCAGAGACTATGGGGCTCGGGGATCACGCTGAAGGATAGAGATAAGGGACCTCCCTCCCCTCCCTGCCTTGAAGGGGTGGAGGGGCAGTTCCTCTCCTGGACACTTGTTAGCAGGTTTGGGGCCCACGACAAAGGGGCCAGGGGAGGGCATTAATTCCTGCTTTCGACTTTGGGGCTGAGGAGGGGTCTTCCGGGGGCTGTGAGGAGGTTAAGAGGCCTTAGGCTGAGTGGAGAGGAGCGAGAGCCATGAGGGGAAGGTAGGTCGGTTGCCATGCCACAGCCGAGGGGCCTTTATTAAATGTTGAGGGCATGGATAGGCAGGTAGGTAGATGCTAGAGGGTGTGGCACACCTTCTCAGGGTGTAGTGGTGCCCGGATGTCCAGTTTGTGGGTCTTGCTGTCCTTATCGATGATCTCCAGTCGCAGCTTGGGTGGACGCTTCTCAGCCTGGGGTGAGGGCAGTTCAGGGCTCTTGAGTAGCTGCTTGTCTGAGTCCTCCACAGTGATGCGCAGAGTACAGCCCCCCGGCAGCAGGTCCTGCTCATAGGCAGCCGCCAGCTGGTTCACCACACGGCGCTCTACCTGCAGGCGGTAGGCGGAGTGGTCGTCACTGCCCAGGCCAGGCCCTTTCACTTATGGGCAAGTACTTACTCTGGGCTTCAGTGCTCTCATCGGCAAAGGGCTAACAACACAGAGCCTGCAGGATTGTGCTAAAGACTCAGTGATGTCAATTTCTGAGGTTCCCAACTCAGTTCCCCACCCTGGCGGGGTCACACTTGGTTACCCTCCAGGACACGGGTTTTACTTGATCAGATTGTGGTTTTGGTTCTGAAGGTATGAACAATTCCAGCAGCCAAACTGTAGGGAGACAGGCTGGGAGCCTGAGGATTGGGTCTGGGGGCACCGAGGAGGGAGGTGTGGTGGTGCCTCACTTCTCCCAGGCTCCCGTGCTCACCTCATGCTTGATGGAGCGGGCGCCATAGTGCACGTTGTAGCCGTCGACCAACACGTCTGCCACCTCGCGGTCCCAGAGCAGCGTGATGTTGTGCCTTTGCTTGGCCTGAGACAGGTCAGATAGGAGCACGCCCACGTGTGGCCCAGTGCTTTCCACCTCTCACCACTCTGGCCTGAGGCCTGAGGCCTGGGCCTGTGAGAGGCTGTGTGTTGCCATGGCCACTGGCTCCATACCACTGTGCTCCACCTTTTGGGAACGGGTGCTCCCAGCCCAGCGTTCCCCAACTTCCAGTGGGAAGATGTCCCATCCCCACCCATGGGCAGGCCCCACTCTTACTCTCTTGGCCCAGAAGTTCAGTTCCTTGTTGACTAGTTGGATGAGCTCCGAGTGGCAGAAGGGGAGGAAGTAGACAATCTCGTTGATTCGTCCCAGAAACTCATCTCTCCGGAAGTGAGCCTGCAGGTCCAGGTTAGGGGTGGGGTGAGCTCACTGACCCAGGGTGGGTAAAGGAAATTACTGGACCCCAATGGGGAAGAGTACGGGGGCCTCCATATTTTTAGGATGGCTAAGGGCATCCCCCCAACCCGAGGCTCCAGCAAGCAGAAAGACCTCTTACTTTCAGGATGGGGCGAATCACATTCTCCTTGAAGTTCTTTGAGATGGTGATCTTGTCATTAATCTGGACATCCCCTGTGGAGACAGAATCATAAACTGCCTACTCCCCACACCCAGGGAGCTTTGGGAACTGTGCCTGCTGCTTGGCCCCATCCATGAAAAGAGCCCTGGTCCTGCCCCTGACGGTCGGTGTGATCCTGGTCAAGGTCTCAGGCTCTCTGGGCCTCAGCCTTGTCTCTGCACCTGAACAATGAGAAGAATGGACTGGGTGGCTTCTGAGGCCCTTCCAGCTCTCATGTGCTACAAAGCCTAGGGTTCCTTAGGGTGGGAGATGTGTGAGGGAAGGGAGGGGAGAGGAGAAGAATCAGGACCAAGACTTGAGTTCTGACTTAGAAGAAGGGGGCTGGAGGTTCAATCCTAAATAGAAAGGTGACAGACACGGCCTCCTGCCTGATGCTCCTCCTCTCCAGCACTCTCCAGGGCCCACCGACACAGGAAGCCTCCCTGGCTGAAAAAGGCCATGTCCATCTCCATACAGTTTCTGCTCTGCTCCCCCTCATTGCACCGAAGTGTCTCTATCTGTTGAATGTGTGTCTCTTTAGTTCCCTAAGACCCTGGCCTCTTCCCGGCCCCTCACCCTGGGGTGGCTCTGTCCAGTCCTCTGTCTGAAGCCCTCCTGTCTTTCAAGAGACTTGGGGCTTTCTTGAGGAAGTGGGGGCATTGTCTCTCTGTCTCCCTCCACTATCTGGTATGGTGCTTGGTGTCTGGTCAGTGCCAGCTAAGGACAAAAATGCCTACCAGGACCTTCACCTGGGCCCAGGACCCCAGTGCCATCCTTGCTCCCAGGAGATGTGCTGGAGGCCTGGTCACTTGCCCAGTTGCCCAGACAGCTCAGGCCCTGTGCCATACCAAGGTTCTCGGCGATACGGTTATGGCTCATCTCCAAAGCTTCCTGCCTCAGCTGCAGTGCATGCTGTGCGATCTCATCGCTGGCCACGTTGGAGGTCATGATGAAGATGGCATCCTTGCAGTCGATGGTCTTCCCCTTTCCATCAGTCAGCCGGCCCTGGGAAGGAAGTGACTGCATGGTCAGGAAGCTAGAAGGCTGGGTATCTCTTCCAGGAGGTCTCTCCAGAACCCCTGTGCTCCCCACAGCCCTGGCAGAGTCAGCTGCCCCTTGCTCTGGGTTCTCTGAGCACTGTTCTCACACCTCGGCTGCAACTGCTCATCCACCGAGAGGGCCTCCAGGCGAGACGGCACCTCCTGTTGGGCACCTCTCAGGGCACCCAATCACCCTCGGCACCCAGAAGTCACCCTGAGTACACATGCATCCATCCAACACACTTTCCTGGAGCCCACTCTGGGCCAGGCGCTGTGGTGGGGCACTGGGGACTGGCTGAACCTTCAACACGCTCCACTCTGGAGAAGGAGTGAAACCCAGGAAACAAGCGATGACAAGTCAGTGGTTAAGTGCTGTCGTAAAGGGAGGCCCAGGTGGCTGCTGGAGTTCAGAGGAGGGTATCCCACAGGGTCATGTGAGGACTAGGTAAGTGAACTGAAACAGGTGTAACCTCTGCATCTTTGGAACCCTCTTCTGGCCTGACAGAGAAGGATAGAAAATAAGGCTTCTCCTTTAACCAACTTGGGAAGTTTCCGTGGAATCTTTAGCTCTTTCTAGCAGTGACATAGAAGAAAGCATCTATACTGGAAAGAGATGCACCAAGGAAAGAGAAAAGGAGCAAAAGCAGAGGGGAGAGACAGAAGGAGTAAAGTACAGCTGTCTGGGCCATTCAGCTCACGGGCAGGGAGCTCCACCCACTCAGCAACCTCAAGGCTGTCACTGCACGACAGCACCCTGTGGTCATTTATAACAAAAGCAATGATCAGGCCTCACTGAGAGGCATGACGGAGTAGCAACAGGGGACACTGACGGGGCACTTCCACCTCCATCACAGGTGTTCTGCTTAGTGCTTGCCGTGCACGACTGTACTCTACCCACTAAAGCGTCGCTCCACGATGGCAGAGGCTGGGTCCTCTGGGTTCTCACTGGGTCCTAGGACACTGTCCAGCACACAGTAGGTGTACAGCACCTGCATGCTGAATGCCTGAATCCTCACCACCCCTGCAAAGAAACAGGCTCAGAGAGGTTAAGTAACTTGTTCAAGGTCTCACAGCTAGAAAATAGCAGAGCTGATGCTTGAACTGTCTGACCCCAGAGCCCATGCCCTTCCCTCTGCACCAGGCTACTGAGGTCATATGTACAGTGCGATAAATGAGGCCTCATGCAATTTTCTTTCCCTAAATAAAATTTTCTCAGAATTCTGCCCCATTCAGTTTGCATCCTTTGACCCTCACTGGAGAGAAGCACCTGGGACAGGTGTAGAGAGGGAGACCTGCCTGGGATTTCCTCCGGGTTGCAGACAAAGCACAGCTCCCGTAAAGCTGGAGACCACGGCTCTGGGGTAGGTCACTGACCTCAGCCTGTCGGCTCCTGCCTGAGCCAGCCTCGCTGGCAACTTGGCCTTCTCAAGCCTGTCCCCTGCCCTGGCGGCGGGGCCTGACTCAGGGTCAGCCCTGGCTTCTAAAGCCAGTGCAATGGCAGACCAGCTCTGGCCATCGGCAGCAAGAGAGGAAGGAATGTGCGTTAACTGAGCACCTGCTGCATGCTGGACACGGTGCCACGTGCTTTTCAGCCTTGCTTTACACTGGCCCTTGGCACAGGCCTCTCAGAAAGTGTTAGCTCCAATGGGTATACTCTAAAGGGGCCTTGCGATCCGGGTCCTCGTGGCTCTCCCGTCCCTGCCTTGGGGCGGGAAGAGGGGAAGGCAAGGGTGCAAGCGGACGTTCTTGAGTTTTGCCATCAGCTGTCCTGCTTATGGGTTACAATACGACCGAATCCACTAAGGGCAGTTCTAGTTCCGGGGACCAGGTCTGCGTGTGTGTGTGTGATGTGCCCAAGTGTGTGCACCTGACACTGTGTGTGTTCGCAGAGCACATCCCTGAGGAATGGCGCACACACTGCTGTACTGGCCAGAGCAATAACCAGCAGCAATTTCATTCTGAGAGATCAAAGCTCTGCTCCTAACGGCCTGAGGATGGGTCCCAGGTGGGTGAGGGGAGCAGGTGCAGGGTATGACTGACCCAAAGGGTGACTCCAGGGGCTGGCCCCGTGGCTTAGCGGTTAAGTGCGTGCACTCTGCTGCCGGCAGCCTGGGTTCGGATCCTGGGCGCGCACCGATGCACTGCCTGTACGGCCACGCTGAGGCCACATCCCACATAGAGCAACTAGAAGGATGTGCAACTATGACATACAACTATCTACTGGGGCTTTGGGGGAAAAAAAAAAAAAGGAGGAGGATTGGCAATAGATGTTAGCTCAGAGCCGGTCTTCCTCAGCAAAAAGAGGAGGATTAGCATGGATGTTAGCTCAGGGCTGAGCTTCCTCACAAAAAAAAAAAAAAAGGGTGACTCCACAGCCCCCATGTCTCCTTCTCCTCAGAGTCCTTGGCAATAAAGACGAGCCTCAAAGAGGCAGCTGTTTCTGTCCCACCTCCCACCGATGACTGGAGTGCACACGTCCTGGGTGGGGCGCGAATGCTCACCCCAGGGTTATAGGGGCTGCTTTCCCGCTGTCTCATGTATGAATCCTTGAAGGGAGGAGAAGAATGTGGGCTCCCTGGGGGCCAGTCTCTTCCTGGGACTTGTGCTGTGGCTCTGGGGTCTTGGTGTTTTGGTGAGAGCATTAGGCCTCCTGCTTTTCTGGGTCCAAGCTTCGGAGAACTGGGCTGGGTGGGAATGAGGGGCTTCCCTCATGCCCCCAGGCTGGAATAGGTGTCCTTACAACTTCCCACCACTTACCCTAGGGCAGCACTCACCAGTGGGCTGAACTGCTCTGTGTCGCCCGTCTCCCTGACTCACTCATGAACACTGAGGCAGGGACCGTGTCTGTGTCCCCTCTGCCCCACACTGAACCACATTTTCTTGGTTTGCCCCCTACCTCTCTGGCAATTCTTTGACTCTTTCCTGAGAGGTCACAGGGCTCTGTTTGAGCCCTCTCTTCTCTGCACACCATACTCTCCCTAGCCAAGTGATCTCATCCTTCCCGCGGCTTCCGTTACCCTTTCTGTGCTGAAGCATTCCCGAATCTCCACTTCCAGTCCAGACCTCTCCTACACTCCAGCCCTCTCCAACTGATGAACGGCCTCTTGGACATCTCCATCTGGCGGTCCCTCAGGCATCTCCTCTTCAACAATTCCAAACCTCAGCTCCTCACCTTCCTTGCCAACCTGCTGCTCATCCTCCCACTCTCTGCCTCAGCTGATGGCAGCAGTGGCCGTCTGGTCACCCAGGCCAGAAATCCTGCCACTGGTCATCCTTGGCCCCTCCCTCTCTCCTCACATTCAATCACTGAGCCCTGCCCAGTCGACCTTCTGGTAGCTCTCTCCATCCTACAGACCCTGCTTTAGAGAAGGCCTCCCCAGCTCTAGCCTGGACTCTTCAATAGTCTCCTCACTGCTCCCCCTTCTGCCTTCCAGTCCATTCTCTCACCGCTGCCTAAAGGATCTTTATAAAGTGAAAACTTGACCATGTTTCTTTCTTGCTTAAAGTCTTTAAAGTTTAAAGGCTCCTTACAATCTACCAAATAAATCCACACTCGTTTGCCTGGCATGTTAACTGGCCTGTCTACCTTACCCACTCACCTCCACCACTCTGTTCTCGTCTTCCCTCTCAGTGGAGCAGTAACGAACAGCTGTAGTTCCCTGGCTACACCAAGCTGTCTCATGTGCCTGTGCTGCTGCACATTAAGTGTCTGCTGCCAGCCCTCCTCCACTCTGTTCACCTGGCAAACACTACTCATCCTTGGAAGATTTGCTGAATTATTGTTGAATTAGTCAGTCAACAGAGTATTGCCCCTGACTCTCTGGGTTCTGGGAATGGTTGGAGTAAGACAAGGTCCCTGTCCTTAAGGAGCATATAAGCATAAATCTGGCTAAGGGATCTCAGATGGCAGCTTTCATCCATGGAACCAAGGGCATAAACATCAGAAAGTGTAGGAGGCTGGTAAGGGCTGCAGGAAGGAATTATTATCAACTCCCAAAGGTAGTCAGTGGAGTGACAGCAGCTGGGAGGGGTGGACAGGGCCAACACGTGGGGGCGGTAGGCATCTTCCAGGTAAGACTGGTTTCATTTCAGTCAGCAGTTGCCTTCCCTCTCTCTGGGCCAAGGTGGCCACCAGAGGTACCTCTCCAGGGTGTCAGAGGCCAAACAGGCTGCCGTGCTCACCCTCCTCGAGGTGGGCTCTCCCTTCCTGTGAATGCTGCACTGCACATCTACCTCTCTCTTTTGGCTCTAGCTGGTAGTTATTATTTAAGCTGCAGGCTCTGGAACTGGCCTGCCTGGGTTCGAATCCTGGATTCCCTCTTCCCAGCTGTGTGACCATGGGTGAATTACTTCTCTCACTTGACTTCAGTTTCCACATCTGCTACATGGAGGGAGTAATAATAACTATCTTCATAGTGTTGTCGGGAGGATTAAATGAGTTGATACATGAGTTGATACATCTAAATTTTTTAGAACAGCGCCTGGCACATAAAGTGCAAAAACGTCAACTATTATCACATCTCCTTTCCACCTGTCTACTAGGCAGGGAGTTCCCAGACGGCAGGTTTGAGTCTCGTCCATAGCTGTGTAGCTGCATCCCACCAAGAGGCTGGAATGGAGTGGGAGGTTTCAGAGCAGAAGTGTGGGAAACTGAATATGCGAACTTGGAAGGACTGGCCTTCGTTCCTCAGCAGGGGGTCCAGGGACAGGGATGCTGGGTCAGGTGGGGAAGGTGGTGGGCAGCTGTGGGGACATTTGGAGCTGGGTCTTCCTGGCTTGGTACCTGGTGTGCTATTTGGTCCAGGGGGAGTCCCTTCCTGCACCTCAACTAGTGCACTTATGACATGAGTGGCAAAACCCCTTCCTGTTATCCCACGTCTGGAGGGGGCCAGGTGGAAAGGTGGGCTGGACTCCATCTGGCCACGTGCTGGCTAATATGTCCCTGCATGGGAGCAGAAGAGAAGCCTCACCCCTGGTTCTGCAGGGCCCCTGAAAAAGGAGGAGGTCATCCCCTCCGATGATCACAAGCTCTCCCTCCCCTGCTCAGGTAAGGAGGGGTAAAGAGGGGGAGAACAGGGGCTCTGGGGTCAGATATTTCTGCAGCTCAATCTTGGCTCCTCCACATAGTAGCTCTGTGGCCTTGGGCAAGTCACTTATAACCTCTCTGAACCTCAGTTTCTCCGTCTATAAAAATGAGATAGTTTCTACCTTGCCTGGCTATTGGGATGATTAGTGATAATGTCTGTAAAGTCTTCAGCACAAGCCTAGTACAAAGAATGTGCTGAATAAAAGGGAGTCCTGTTCCTCATTTAGAGCTCACCCCACCAGTGTGGGGGACTGTCTAGCTTGTGATGAGCCTGGAGCTCCTCAGAAGAAAAGGGCTCCACGGTCAGAAAGGTTCCTCGAGCTTATCTTGGATCCAGTCTCCTTGTTTGTCACATGAGGTCCCTGATGCCTAGAGATAGAGCAGAGCTGAAACTTAGAATTCAGGTCTCTCTCTCTCTCCTGGCACCTCTGCCCCACTCTTTCTCTCTAGAAGGTAGCCTGGGCAGCGACAAAATTTCAACTCTTGGGCTGTGCTGGTCGTCCCTCAAGCGCCCAGCCTGGGCCCTGGTGGAGAGAGGGGGAGAAGCCATGTCTGCTAAGGGACTGAATGTACACATCGGGGAGCAGCAAGCTGAAGAATGATCAGACAGGCCTCTGGGTCCTTGGTTCCTGCTGTTCACAGCCCCCCATACATCCAGGTGTCTCCCACTCCATCATGGCTCAAGCTGACTTTCACCTCATCAAACAGTTGCAGCATGATGGTGAGCACATCTGGATGGGCCTTGTCCACCTCATCAAAGAGCACGACGGCGTTGGGGCACTGCTTTAGCTTCTTGGTCAGCTGGCCACCTTCCTCATGACCGATGTAGCCTGGTGGGGACCCAATAAACTTGGCCACCTGGTAGAAGGAAAGAAACATGTTAGGAGGGCCTTTCTCTGCTTTTAGTTTCCAATATGGGGCATGCACAGGAGGATGGCTTTATACACTGTTAAGACTGCCTGTCTCAACAAGGACAGTTGGGCTGTCTCCTGGAGTGGCAGGAATCCTGCCATGATGGGAGAGCAGTTAGATCTTCTCTATGTTTATTCCTCAGAGCAAATCCTACACAAAATAGATCAGTGACCATGCTGCACACATATACCCCCAAAGGACAAATCCCAAGGCTGCTGGAATTATCTCAGGCCCAGATGACAAGTCACATCAAAATACCCAGGCAGAGTCACATTGACAGGCCCTCCAAACCATGCTTCACCAAGGACTCTCACTTACCTCATGCCGCTCCTGGAACTCAGACATGTCCAGCCTGATGAAGCCCTGTGTGAAAACAAGCAGGAGTCCATTGGGAGGCAGAAAAGCAGACGGAAGGGTTAATGAGGAGAGTGTCTCAAATATCCCCCAGGCTTTCACACCACACCAACCCAAGGTCTTCTATCCCATTCTCATGACATATTTTTTCCTAGCTCTTGCCTCCTCTTCTGTGTATTCATCCCCCATACGATTCCCTCATTTGCTACCTTAATAAACCCACATCATGTCCCTGCCCTCCTTTTTTTTTTTTCTGTGAGGAAAATCAGCCCTGAGCTGACATCCATGCCAATCCTCCTTTTTTTTTGCTGAGGAAGACTGGCTCTCGGCCCCGTGGCTTAGTGGTTAAGTGCGCGCGCTCCGCTACTGGCGGCCCGGGTTCGGATCCCGGGCGCGCACTGACGCACCACTTCTCCAGCCACGCTGAGGCTGCGTCCCACGTACAACTAGAAGAATGTGCATCTATGACATAGAACTATCTACTGGGGCTTT